TTTAGTTGTGGAAGATCTAATGATATTGCGGGGAAAAAAAATCGAAAAACTTGATTGCGCATGAATCAATACATCCGAAATTAAAAAAAAAAAAAATCTAAACCCTTGAAGAACAGCACATCAAATGATCCCATTTTTAGTGGTGCCATTTTCAGTTTTAACTTGCCCTGTAGACGTGAGTACAAGTTATAGCAATGATAACTTATCAGTGTCTATAGGAGTGTCCCTGCAGTCACAAAGGCATGTACTTCCCCAGGCCATACCGTCAAAAGTGACTCCGGGTGAACTCAATGTACACACTCATATCTTTTTTTCTTCCTTTCATTCTGTACAATATAGTATTTCATGTTGAGTTTTTTTGTTTTTTTTTAAACGGGGGAAAAAAGTTTACATTTCTACCGCGGCCATGCTCTTCTCACAGAACTGTTGCTAAGAAACTGCTGGAACGGTGCCTGCTTACGAGCATAATGTTGCAATGTTTGACAAGTCTCCATAGTAATGTTTCAATGGGCACGGTTAAATATTTGCAAACAATCACTTATTAGAGCGGCCTTGTCAAACAGTAAATCTCGGTAGGAAAGGGGGAAAAGGGAGGTTATAGAATGCCTGTGTTATATTCAAAAACATAAAAAAAATATTTAAAAGACCTTCATGAAGACTGTCATTGAGGAGAATATATACCTTTCGTCAATACCATAATCCTCCCTTGTCACCATCCAACTTTATTTCGGTCTCTGGACTTTTTCAACATTGTTGTTGTTGACATCACTTTGCCTTCATCACGAGTGGCAATGATGATCAACACAGTGACTAATTCCAGAATGAGTTGGACTTTGGAATTTTTAACATCCCCACAATACTTGGGCCAGGACTTCTGTGGGATAATGAAAATATGAGACTTCTTTCTTTGAAAGTAAAGAAGTAGCAGGGTAGTAATTACAGCTTGAGTACTTCTAAAGTGACCTACACTCGGTCTTAATTCACGAATGCTCTTCAGTGATGAACGAAGATAAACACATTTACAGAGAGGAAATAAAATAAATAATAATGGGAGGCTTGTGTTTGATTAAGAAACACCAACGCGTTTTGATTTCATTCCAGCAAACCAAATTTGGGCAAATTGAAGAAAACATGGTGGGGGTTTTTTTGCGCGTGTTTGTTTTTTATTCAAAGAACCTTGTCCAGAATGAATCATAGATGAGAGCATATTCTCGAAAAAGAAATTAATTATTGTGATGTATTTAAAAAATATTTTAGAATGCAATGACATACACAGTTTGGCCCCCCTTTGCAGATTTAATAGCTTCCGTCTGAGAATTTTTGTCAATTCATCCAAAAGAACATTTGTGAGGTCAGAGATTACTGACGTTGGCTCACAGTCTGTTTTAGTTCATGCCAGATGTCTAATTAGGTTTAGATCAGGGTTCTGTGCAAGTTCATCCACACCTTGTGTTTATGGGCCTTGCTTTGTGGAATGTGGCACAGAAATTTCGGACAGATGAACAGAAAAAGGTCTTCCACAAACCTGTTTTCACAAAGATGAAAGCATACAATTGTCCTGTGACAATATTCACAATATGATTATTTTCCAAGCAGAATAAGTCACTTTCCCATTCAGATACTGTATATTTGGCACCATTTTTACACAGGATGACCTTCCAGATGTAGCCCACCCATTTTGATCCAATCTTGGGACTGGCAGTGGCATATGGAGCATGGCTTCCCATCTGGATGTTCCCTTTTGCCCTGAACGGGATTTGAACCCTGATGGGCATTTGGAGAGCCATCCAGCCACCACCACCTTCCTCATCTGGGAATGTTCATTTAATTACATCAACTTTAAGGATACACTTGCCCAAAATGGAGAACATCTGCGGCTCTTTAACGTCCCCAAATGCAATTTTCAACTCAATCGGCTGTGTCAACTTAATCCGTACCTTGGGTGAAACTAACCCAATCTGCTCAAAATCCACGGCGACCCAGTGAGTGAACAGCCGCCCAGCATTTTTTGGTGTATATCACAAAGTATATACGTATAATTAAATAACATCTCCAAACATGTATGGCTTGACAAGAAAAAAAAACGTGTGTGTGTGTGTGTGTGTGCGTGCGTGCGTGCGTGCGTGCGTGCGTGCGTGCGTGCGTGCGTGCGTGCGTGCGTGCGTGCGTGCGTGCGTGCGTGCGTGCGTGCGTGCGTGCGTGCGTGCGTGCGTGCGTGCGTGCGTGCGTGCGTGCGTGCGTGCGTGCGTGCGTGCGTGCGTGCGTGCGTGCGTGCGTGCGTGCGTGCGTGCGTGCGTGCGTGCGTGCGTGCGTGCGTGCGTGCGTGCGTGCGTGCGTGCGTGCGTGCGTGCGTGCGTGCGTGCGTGCGTGCGTGCGTGCGTGCGTGCGTGCGTGCGTGCGTGCGTGCGTGCGTGCGTGCGTGCGTGCGTGCGTGCGTGCGTGCGTGCGTGCGTGCGTGCGTGCGTGCGTGCGTGCGTGCGTGCGTGCGTGCGTGCGTGCGTGCGTGCGTGCGTGCGTGCGTGCGTGCGTGCGTGCGTGCGTGCGTGCGTGCGTGCGTGCGTGCGTGCGTGCGTGCGTGCGTGCGTGCGTGCGTGCGTGCGTGCGTGCGTGCGTGCGTGCGTGCGTGCGTGCGTGCGTGCGTGCGTGCGTGCGTGCGTGCGTGCGTGCGTGCGTGCGTGCGTGCGTGCGTGCGTGCGTGCGTGCGTGCGTGCGTGCGTGCGTGCGTGCGTGCGTGCGTGCGTGCGTGCGTGCGTGCGTGCGTGCGTGCGTGCGTGCGTGCGTGCGTGCGTGCGTGCGTGCGTGCGTGCGTGCGTGCGTGCGTGCGTGCGTGCGTGCGTGCGTGCGTGCGTGCGTGCGTGCGTGCGTGCGTGCGTGCGTGCGTGCGTGCGTGCGTGCGTGCGTGCGTGCGTGCGTGCGTGCGTGCGTGCGTGCGTGCGTGCGTGCGTGTGCGTGCGTGTGTGTGTGTGTGTGTGTGCGTGTGTGTGAGTGTGTGCGTGTGTGTGTGTGTCAGCCCCTCCCTGTTCGGGTGACTTTCCACATATCAGAGGCGTGTTGCATAAGAGAAACAAGTAGAGCAAGGTAACCACTAACACGCATGGGCACAGAAATACACATGACATACTCCAAACATACATGACGCTACACCACAAAAGCTTCAGACTTGTGCCAATTTGGTTCCACGCCCAGCATCATGCTACAGTTTCCAGAGAGTGTAATAGTATATGGTTTAAATTTTGCCTTGCTATTTATACCTTGCGACAGTTCGAAATAGGCAGACACGAGGGGCCCGTCTGGCCTCTGTCAGTATGCCACTCTATCCATACGTCTGCATCAAGGACCTGTAAGTTACAAGCAAACACTCGTTTGAAATGTTGACGGGTTGCACTTCAGACAATGTTGTACGGCCCACTCTCAAATCTGAAGAATGACAGAGTAAAATGTTCACTCATTGATCAAATCACGCATTGTTCAAATTTGCGACCGTTACTGTCATTTCATTGTACATCATTTCTGACATTTCTTCCCCAAGAACAAGAACAGATAGTCGATTATGAATTCAATCTTTTAATTGCGCACATTTACGTTCAATTCTTTGTTCACTAAGCTTTGATGACTAATCTGCCAACTGGTTTAGTGAGCGAAGTTGGAATGTTCGAGAAGGGTTTCTGTTTTCTGTACCTCTAACTGGATGTTGCGTTGTTTGTTGCTCTGAGGTTAATGAGTAAATTCTGGAAATGAACATACAGTGTGTGTATGCGGTCGCCACTTACAAAATGATCAGATAACAGAAATGCACACACAGTTTAGAAGCAGAATTGGAGACTGAGGGAACAGCTGTCATTTCCCTGAAATGACCTGAGAAGCAAAACAAAAATCCTATCTGTGGTAGACTCTCTTTTGAAACTGTCAATTAAAAAGAACACATACAAAAAAGAAACCCACTCACCATGATAACAATAATCTTCTGGGAAAGATCTTCAGCTTTGTGGGTGGCTTTTTTTGCTCTCTCTCTCTCTCGCTCTCTCACCAGTTAAAGAGATGGGACCACAGTTTTATTTTCACTTAGGTCCGTAAGGTTAAAGTGGGATGCAAATCTTCAACCAAAATACCCTCAAAAATGTGTTCAATGTGGTTTAATGTGAACAATAAGGCAGCCTTCTCTGGCTTCATTTTTTTTTTCTGACCAAATGTTTCAAACATCGGCTCATCAATGGGTGTGTTTGCGTACTTGTTTTGCTCATTCTGGTGGAATAATCATGGTCTGATCTAAACGTAACAGAAACTGAAATTCTGGGGCAAATATTACCCAATGGATTCTGGTAAGGTTCTGCGTTTTCAGTTCTGAGTGGGCAATAACACTCAGAAGCTATACAGTAAATGGTCACGTACTCAATGATTTACAACACTTCCTGCTGCTCTGTCATTAGTCATGAAGAAAAATGTACTCAAACGTATGATTAAGTGTCTCTGTCGGGGCTTTTACAATAGAAGTACTTTTGAAGTGGTGAAGGATGAAAATGGCAAAATGTAAAGGCTGCCGAAGAATTGTATTTTTGATTTTACACATCTGGGTGCTAAATATGGTAGAATGTGTTTTGTTACTCTTCATGGGCAGGACCTCTCGCAATTCACAGGAATTGTCGTATAGAACGGGGAGAGATACTGTAAACTGGAAAAACAAATCCACTCACATTGGGCAGCGGGCTCGAAGGGCTTTTATTTCAGACAACCATAAAACCGACAAATTTGACATAGTTTACTAGCAATACATTGTTCTCTTGTGTGTGTGTGTGTGTGTGTGTGTGTGTGTGTGTGTGTGTGTGTGTGTGTGTGTGTGTGTGTGTATACGTGTGCACGCATATGTCTCTGCTGTGTCTGTTTTGTAAAAACGCCCAACCTTGAGCTCACATGAAACTCGAGTTGGAGGGAGGGACATCCGGGAACATAGCGAGTGGAAACTCCTCCTAACTTGAGGAGGAGCTTCGAATGCAGTCATAAAAGTGCAGCACACCAGTGGACCTCAGCATACTTGGCTCTGGAAACAGGTATCGAACAGTGAACAGAGGACCTGAGTTCACTCTCCCGGCCTAAAGGGTACAGCATGTCTGATATGCATGACAACATTTTCACAAAGGTGAGTCAATGATGATCTGAATGTTCTTTTGAATGATCTTTATCCGTGCTGTCCATAGAGGAAGACCGCTGTTGGATTACCAAACTAGTGATTAGACAGTAAACATGCCGAGTTTTACTTGGGTTAACGAACCAACGAAGCGATTTCGGGTGTGTTGGAGCTATGTCTTATACTCATTCATATCTTCCAGTCAAAGAATATCGTTTGTCAGTATTTTTGGGACGCGATAATATCTGTAGACTAAGAAAGACAAATCGTTGTATTCGCTGAAAGTGCTCACGCGTAATTGTCAGTCTTTTAACGATCCACTCCATCTGCAACAGAACCTTTTGAACTTGGCGCTTGATGATGCCTTGCTCCCAAGACCATCTCAGCTCAAAGTCCCAGGACAAGGTCGACTGAACCGGTCCACCTCGTTCTTCGCACCCTCCTCCTCGCCTCCCCCCTCCAATCTCAGTTTCAGCACTGAGCAAATCAATGACGATGACAGCAGCGGCTCGCTATGGTCATCAAACATCTGGAGCCAGAGCCCTAGTCTCCAAACTAAGGCATCGCCTCTGCAGGTGCGCTCCATGAGCCTGACCGAGTCCAGCATCTCGCTGCTCTCCTCCTTCGGACAACTCAAGAACCTGGAAGCTTTTCCTTCCGGACCTGTCACAACTGTGGCTCCTCCGCCAGGCTTCCCCCCCGGATCCAACCTGCCCGCCCAGGTGCCACCCATGCTGTCCTCCAACCGTTACAAGACTGAGCTCTGCCGTGGCTTCCAGGAGACGGGCAGTTGCAAATATGGCAGCAAGTGCCAGTTTGCCCACGGTGAAGCGGAGTTGCGTGGAATGTATCGCCACCCCAAGTACAAGACGGAGCCTTGCAGAACCTTCTACAACTTTGGGTACTGCCCATATGGATCTCGCTGCCACTTTATCCACGAGGAGAAAATCAGCGGGGGCCAACTATCATCCGGCAAATTCCAGACTCAGCGCCAACCATCTCTCAACCCGAGCAATGGTCAGAATCAACGCCACCAACTCCGCCAGAGTGTCAGCTTTGCGGGGTTCATGGGCTCGTCACGGACCTCCCCTCCGCCATCATTCCCGACATCCTTTACTGATCCAAACCTGGGCTTCAGCAGGGCGGCCTCTGTGTCTCCACCTCCGGCAGATCTGATATCCCCGGTGTTTGCTGACTCCCTCACACGGGAAGTAGCGGCATTCCAGTTTGGCAACCATCAAACCCGTGCCAGCTCTGGAGACATCCACAACATTCCTCTCATCGTCGAGCCAAAAGCATCGCGCTGCATGTGTGGCCACGGGAACGACTTCTCTGTTTTGCACAGCAACAGTGGCAGAGGCTTTGCCAAGATGACGGATGGAAACCAGCAGGACAGCAGTGCCTTGTTTGCCGGTTCCAGCCACGGTGGATCGGCGAAGCATGCCAGTCTGCAGCGTTTCTCCTCCGAGGACTCCCTGGAAGACAGCTACAGCAGCAGCAGTGGAGGCTCCAGCGGGTCTGAGTCTCCAACTTTCGATGGATCGGCCACCAAGAGGCTCACTGTATTTGAACGGCTGTCCTTGTCCGACTAAGGGAAATTACGGAAGGGAACTGTGTCTGTCTCGTTTTTCTTCAGAACCAGAACTGATCAGGACAAGTCAACTTTTGATGACACGATAACACATAATGTTCTTAATCCATGTATGTTGACAAAGTGATTACTCGAGCGGATATCATTACAAATTGTCACCAGGGTAGCAAATCGGACCTTTTTATGTGGTCTTCCGTAGATTTTGACCAGATCGGCAATCTGGCTGGTTTGCATATTTACAACTGTGGCGATCAAGACGGCTCAACAGTTGAGACAATCAATAGTGTCTTGCCTTAAAAATTCTCCCTGCCTCACAAGACATTGCTCCTCAGTGCCGAGAACAGTATGTTTGATTGCGTGACCTTCATGAGAAAGACCTCACGTGTGTAATTGATGCCATTTTATCTGTGACATGCACTTTACAGCAAATTTGAGAGGGAGAAAATTGTCTCCCGGTAGCATTCAACCAAAGCTTCATACTTCACTCTACTGTGTGCGTGTGTGCGTGCGTGTGCGTGCGACTGTGTGTTTGCGTGTAACAGTCTCTTTTTTTTTTTTTTTTCTGGAGACCAGGGGTGCAAGTGGATGCAAGATCAAAGTGTGCAACAACAGAAAACCATATGTCATATGTAAATAGATGACCCACTTAAACGTTTTTTTTAATCTTTGGTGGTTTCTTAATGTCACCCTCCTGTACGCTCCTTCTAAAAGGTCCCCTGTTTGATTGACAACCTGGTTCAGGGACTTGAACGCAGTATTCTTTTGGTTATTGGTTGCCTCGCATTGTTTAACTTAAAAGTAATATATTTATTATGATATTTATTTCTGTTTAAATAAAAAAAATGTATTTTGTACTTTATTTATGAAGAATTATTCCAAGCTCTGTGAATTACCAATGTGAGAAAAGGGAGTTAAAAAAAAAAGAGAATGTTATATTTTTAATTGTCCAAACTTGTTGAAATAAATTTCTGAATACCGTAAGGAAATGGGTTCACGTTCTGTCTCCTTTGTTGTTCTGGAAGAAGATTCCACAAGAAATATGCAACACTTACACAACAAACAGCGCACAAGTTCATTTGCATTTGCATTTTATCTAACACATAGATGTTTTGTTTTTCTGTTAGTCGAAAGTAATAAGAAGCAGGAGTCTCGAAAAGGAAAATTCCAGCTTCCATCATTCCATCAATCAATTTTCTGGAGCCCTTATCCTTATTTGGGATGGATGGTGAGCTAGAGTCTCATGAGTTGACTTTGGATGAAAGAGGTGGTAAGCGTGGAGAACTTTTCAAAGGCGGGTACTGATCAACATACGATTGATTTCAGATACCGTATTCATAAAGTAAACGTTACTGGCAAATTAGATGACAGGTGACTAGAAAAAAAACACTGTCACTGACTCTTATCAAGTCGACACATAGAACAGCTAGTTACGTTATGAGAGACAATAACTAATGATGCACCTAATGGGACTCTTTTTCCTGAATAAATACAGCTCTGAAAAGACATGAATAGATTGAGATGTATGATTAATATACCTGCAGTTAATGTTGACTTTATTATTTCATTTCGGCTGAATCTGTGAATGTTGGAATTTTATGAAGGCTTTTTTTTCCTCAACCCAGTTCTCCACTCAGCTTGGCAGCACTTGGCCCTGCTTGCAATGATTAGGGGCAGTTAGTGTTCATGTTATATTACCAAAGGAAATCGATCATGACTAGAGTTGTGAAAAGGAAAAAAAAAATTGCATACGGTGCAAAGGGAAAGGAACAAAAAGAGTCAGAAATGGGTGTCAATAAGTTTCACTTCTCTTCAAATTAACCGTGTTATTTGCTTTGCTTGCTTTTCATCCACGTGAATCAGTGCTTCTTCTGGTTTGTATTGCCAATGTCAGCATTTATCATGTCTCTTGGTTTGGTTTTGAAATTTCATGACAATTCAGTGTCGAAATTTCCGCTTAAAACTCCCAGTTGAACCTTCTGTTGAGCAAGCAGTCTCCAAAGCAAAGCAAAGCCCAGCTGATACTGTCAAAGCGCTGGATTGCACCACAGCTTAAAACCAAATCAAAATACCACTCAGCGGTTCAACATATTTTGAAATAACGTACCAACCCTTGATGCACGCTGCGCATTTCTTTGATAGATATATTAGAGCTGTCAACGGTTATTTTGATTGATCACAATTCATCGGTTAATTGAAAAAAGCTTTTTATGAACTTTTTTTTTGCCCGCCGTGTTTGAAGAGTACCTGTTATGTGTTAATTATTTCTTCCTGGATTTAATGTCATGAGCACATCCTCAACATTTTTTGAACCACTGCTGCACTTTGATGCTCCAGTTTTTCTAATCAGTTCATTACTTACATCAGGCAAAATAACTAAAAAAGGAGCCCAATATAAATAGCGTGATTTAATGTGTTAATACTTGATTAATACAACAATTAATTTAAAATCTATTGTGTCATATATCAATTCACCGAATACAAAAATACACTTCAACTGAATACATGAATAATATGGGGCCCCAATTTGCGTGAGGGGGTGCACCAGGATTTCAAGTGAGCGTGTCATACGTGAACGCTCCAACATGCACTTCACATGATGTTCAAATATTCGTCAGCTCCCCCATAGCCAGTGTGTGTGTGTGTGTGTGTGTGTGTGTGTGTGTGTGTGTGTGTGTGTGTGTGTGTGTGTGTGTGTGTGTCCACATATACTTGTACATTGTAACAGCCTCTCGAATGGTTAAAGTTCACCAAACTGTGTTAGCAAAAAAAAAAAGAAGCAACGTTTAGTCCCCCATTCATTTATATGACGTATGGTGTTGTACACTTTGGATCATATGAAAGTCAGTCTTCAAAACGTCCATGGGACTCACTTCATTCTTAGTTCTCTCATGGAATACTGAATTTCATAAACTGTCATTAAGGCCAGTTATTTTTGGGTATATTCCTTTCTTGCTCCATACGACATAATCTAAACAGTGCACCTTATCAACACAGTGCAAAGATTACCAACAGCCGCTGCGGAGCTGTTAATGATCAACCACTAAACTGTTACTGTCAGAACCTTTCACCCATGTCAGCTGAGCCTGTATGCATGCACTACGCAAACGCATCAACACAGACACATGAACACTTGCACGTACACGTAATCAGTTGAACACTGGATATACATGAAGCTATAGGAGATACAAAAGTAGAAATGACAATTAGAAATGAATGCAATGTCTAATACGCTTGACACAAAAAAAAAAAAAAGACATAACAGGGACTGATGATAAAAGCCTTTAACGTGTACATGATTCAAATCATGTTAAAAGTAGCGAGCCAAATGGAGTTGGAACTCTTCCCAAGTGATTCCCGCTGTGGTGTCAGAAAGGATCCAAAAGGTTTGACAAGGGAGATTAAAGGGATGGGAAGAGGAGATTAGAAAAATGGTGAAAGTACTCCAACTCCTCTGGGGAAAAAAAAGGCGAGGAAGAGCATGACTTTGTGCGTGCCAGCAGGTGAAAGTTCCTCTCGAGAATTCAGTGAATGCTTTTTCACCTGAGGCCATGACAAACCAGGATCGCGGTTGCAAATCTTTGGGCCTGTGTATGCCTGTGAATGTGTGTATTTTGTTTATTTACTGGAGTTCATCACAGCTCGGACACTCCCCTCAATACACCGTCATAGTTTCGGGATAAGCATCCAGGGTTGAGTAATTGTTAAACGTCTGCTGCCGTCAACCCTTCAGAGAATGACAAAATAAATTAAGTAACTTCTCCTTGACGTACGAGGTCATCTGACATCAGTCATTATTTACTGGAAGATACTAAAGAAGCGGGAGGTTAATGCACCTAGTACATAGAAACAGGTGCCTTGAACTTTGGCACAATCCCTTTTCCCCTACGCTAATATATTGCCTCTGCATATCAATAGAAAAGGTGGCACTTAGTTCCTTGTTTCCTTCATGATGAGAAGTTTACTTTCAGCTGATTGCCACATCCACTTAAATTGATTTCTCTTTCCGACGCATGAAATACAATCCAATTGTTCAAAACGAAAACAATTCGAATCACTTCGTTGTGATGAGGTGGTGTCTCTCGAGTCTTTTTGGATCAATGTACTTTGCATACGTCTTTTGAAAATCCCTGTTTTTGCCTCGTCGCCGACTTATTTAGATGACGAAGATGATGAAGTGAGCCAAAATTAAGAAGGGATTATAGAGAAAGTGCCATGTCAACAAGTTGGACTGGTGGTGAAGGAAGGAGGAAATATTTGAGAAGTGACATCACAGCAGCAGCGGAGTGGAAGTGCGATCCTTTTTTAGCCATGTTCGCTCCCTCTGCCACATTCCTCGCCACAGGCCTGAGCTCGTCCCGCCTCCTGCTCTCTCTCCCTCCGACCTCACTCCTGCACCAGAGTCGCTGCTGTGACGCAAACATGGGGAGGAGAATTCGGGGGGGGGCAGAGGGAGGTGTGTGGCGAGGGGGAGCTTAGGCGTGAGGGTGGAAGGCAGTAAAAATCCCTGAACTCTCCCCTGTTGACGGCTTCACTTTTTTATTTGTGCGGCTTTAACCCTCACTTGCCGGTGCAATTTATGAGATTCAACAAAACCAAAAACATTCCCTATTAATTTATTTTTCCGCTTGACATCAGTGGAAAGCAAACTTGTATTGAGAACAAAAAGTTCATTTAAAAAGCGTTTCCGATACACACTATACTGTACTCTGTGGTGAGCTGCTCGCCTTAAAAAGGAAGCACTGACCTACATTTACAAATTCTAATATTTGTACCATGAAATTGTCTTAAGTTATTCGTACCAGTCCATGCTCTCGCACGAGAATGTGGATGTTGGCTTTTTTGTTGTTGTTGTTGAATCAAATTTCTGCCATAAAGTGTTGCCATGTCAGTCTCATCTGGCCAAGGCCTTCAGAATCAAGTGAGCTGCCCAGTGATCATTTAAACTATATTAGCAATAGATACCAAATTCAATTCGGCGGTCCTGTCCGTGACCCATCATAATGTTAGCATTATTTTCATCGTTTCGTGTAATTGAACTTTTGCCATTTCGTTGTTGTGTATTTTCGAGTCTCAAAATGACCTTGCCCTTTGCTCGTGATTTTTGTTCATATTGGCTTTTCCTGGTTTTGTGTCACCAGCGCTCTCTGTTTATATTTTGTCAGTCGTTTGTTTTTCTGTAATTAAATATTTGTTTTGTACCGTCATTTGTCAGAATCTACTTTTTTGGGATCTGCTTACCGCCTGGTCCATTTTCAGATTGTGTCAAGAAGGACATTTCCAAAAATATGTGCCCTTTTTAAGTTTTGAGTCTGGGTGTGGATGACTACGTCATAACAAAAAACATCCTAGATATGGTCAGTATTGTAGTATTATGTCCCATTCAAAATCCACATTGTATACACTCTTCCAGTGACATGCCATCTTGACTTCTGTCTGCGTGACGTTGCAAAAACACAAAACAAAAGCATTCACATGAACAAAGACCCAAACTTTTTGTGAACGTGCTTATTCTGACGTCTGTGAACGGTTTTTGAATGACAGTTAATTTTTGTTGAAGAGTGCCAGGTTTCGTTAGCCTTCCAGGAAGAGATACTCCAAACGACACTTCAGATGGAGGAGGATAAACACCTTATTTGGCATCCCAAGCCACGAAGACTTGTAGCCTCGGGTGGCTGCGTGCGTCATCAAGAACGTGATGGCAGCTTGGAGGCGCGAAAAAACAGTCCGCGGCGATCACCTCACGGTGAGGCGACAAATAGTGAGGTAAGCTCAAGTTTTGAAAGGGTTATTGACTCTATGTAACCATAGTCGCTGGGGAATGTCGTAGTTGAGGGTACAACAACCACCAAAAAACAAAAAAAACATGAACTACTTTGCTTTTGGAACAGTGAACTTGGTTACACTTTTTCAGTGATGAACTACGAATTATCAACTGAATTAGTTCCTTTTAGAATTTGTGAAATGAACTGTGAATTAGTTTGAATTGAA